CTTCCTGGCCTTCCGCACAGACCAGCGGGTCCTGCCCGTGCTGTGGCACCAGAGCTTCCTGGCCTTCGCCCAGCGCTACAAGGAGGACCTCTCCTCGGAGCAGAAGGAGGCTTTGCTCGAGCTGCTCAAGTTCCACAGCCATCCACAGATCTCGCCGGAGATCCGGAGGGAGCTGATGAACTCCAAGACTCGGGATGTGGAGGGGCAGCAGCCTGTGGCCATGGATTTTTTTGCAGGGAGAGGCAGGAACAGCTGCAGCCTGCCCTGCTCCCGGGATGCTGCTGGATGCAGTTGGGAGCCTGGTGCTTGAGCAGAGGCGTGCAGGAGCATCCGTCCCGGGATCCTGCAGCTCCAAGCAGGCGCTGGGCCCAGGCTGTGCCCGTAGAGCCAGGCTGTGCTCCCTGCACTGCTTGTCACGGGGCTGGGCAGCCCCTGTCCCACCCGGGAGCTTGGTGCCACCAGCACCTGGGAAGGTTTGGCCTGTTCCTGTATTGGAAAATAAAACCCAAGCCGTGTCCATCAGTCAGGGCTGGTTCTGTCCCACAGCTGCATCTCTCTGGTCACATCCCTGCGTGGTCCTGCCCTGTGCCCGCCCCACCTCGTCCTGTCCCCAGCAGGTGGCAGAGCGAAGACACCAGCCCCGGGGTTCTCGCGGAGCCGCAGATCGAGTCTGCGCTGCTTCCCCGACTGCAAAGGGAGAAGGGACCCCTGGGCCCCCCCCTCTTCCCTCCTGTGCTGTGCCTGGAGCAGCCCCTGCGTGGTTGGGCAAAGGAAGGGTAAGCGGGGGGACAGGGCTGGGACCCCCAGTGTTCCCAGCAGCGGAAAAGAGCTGCTGGTGGTGCTTGAGGGTTTCCCAGGGCTTGGTTGTCCCCAGGACAGGTGTGAGCTGTGGAGCTGCTGCATCGTGGCTACTGCTGGACAGCAAAAGGGCCTGAGCCAGGATGCCACGGGGAGTGTGCGTGTGGCTGGGGGCAGAGGCGAGGGCAAGAGCAGCCCAGCAGTGCTGGGAGCCTTCCTGCCATCCTGCTTCCAAAATGCCAGCTGTCCCCCTTCCCCAGGGATTTTCCCAAAACACTCGCTTCCCCAGCTGCCGTTCTGGGTGTACCCCAGCAAGGCTGGTGAAGCCCCGGCACCCCGGGGCCACATACCTGGCCTGCTGGTGGCAACCTGCCCACGCACACGTGCCAGCTCCACTGGAAAACCCAGTGGAGGCTTTTCCTCCTACGTGCCACGAGGCGCTGTGCTTACCCTGGGGAACTGGTGGCGGTGATGCCACGAGGTTTTGCACGTTGCAAGTACACGGCCTTGGCCCTGAAACCAGCACAAAGTCCTGCTGGTTCAGCCCCTGAAACCAGCACAAAGTCCTGCTGGTGCAGCCCATGGAGAAAAGCCCCTGCAGCTTCCTACGGCTGCGATTGTGCTCAGGGCCGCTGCCGCCTGCCTCTGCCTCTCTCAAGAGTTGGCACCTTCTCCCATGACAGCAGCGGGAGCCGGAGCCACGTGAAGCGGAGCAGCACCCAAAGCCTGGCTGCCCAGGCTGTTGCACACCGCAGCACCTTTTCCTCGGCTTCCTGATTTTTATCTCCTTTCTTTAAAGAAGCCAGAAGCTGATAAGCACAAGAGATAGCCCGGGCTCGCACAGCGCATCCAGCGCATCCGCCCGCGGTGCCCATGGGTGAGAGGGAGGCTTCAAAGCTGCCGGGGGCGTGAAGCTGCTGCCTCCTCTCCAAAGGCTGCTCTGCAGGAAGGTGCTTGGTTCCAGGTTCATCCATCACCACCTGGAGCTGCCCCAGGGCCTTGGCAAGCAAAACGCATCCCTCGGCCGCTGCAGCGTCTCT